AAAAAGTTTACATGGAGAAATTAAAAATATTCTATTACATTTTACAGAATCTCTGTTTTAAATTACATATAAGTCGACCTTATATTTTCACCCTGCAGAAACTGTTTCAGCCAAAATGGCCAGATTTTGCAAGTCAATGCCAAGTAAATATGTTACTGACTAAACAGAGCACTAAAATGAGATTAGAGATCACATACCAACTTCACCCCAGTGGAACGGGTTGATGCCGCCAGTTGTGCAGTTGTACACTGGAATGTTTTTAGGTCTGAAAAAGAAACAATGTAGTTGTTTATTTTTGGTTAAATCGTATTGTTATATAGTTTTCATAATTTATGTTCATGCCAAGACCTGTGATGTCTCTGTGACCCGGAGAACCAGGCTGCAGACAGAGTGGTGTTGATGACCACATCCACGGGCACCAGGTCAGCCACGGCGTTGTTTGACGCCCTCATTGTCCGTAGAATACCCTTCCCAGCCTGAACAGAAAAAAAACCCCACAATTTTATTCTTTTATTTAGCTTCGGACTGATTAGATACCACGATGTATAAGGTACAGCATGTATTAAGATGTGGCAAAGGAAACTTACCGCTATAAATATTCCACTGGGCCCATTGAAGTTATCAATCCAACCCTAAAGACACAAAATCCTTTGTCAAGAAATTACAGTATTATCAAAGCCTTAAAGTTAGAGCTCTCCATTAGTAATTGTTCCATCTGCTTACGTTAACATTTCAACACAGCAATTTCTCAACATTTCAACACTGCAGTTTCTCAACAAGCCGCAGAAACATGGCATTAGATCGTTCCACATATAAAATGCCGGTAAGTCCTACACAGTCAGTAAAGTTGTAGCTAAATCATACCATCTTGGGTTGAGGACACAGCCAGACTCACTTTACTAGTACAACTAGCAAATTTACAATTTGTTAGCAACATAGCACCATATTATTGTCTTTGTGTTTAGGTATAAAGTATATGTTTAAGTATTTAAGTATAAAAGACTTGGTTATGTTTTCCACTCACAGGGAAGGGCTCTTTCCAGCTGGCCCCAACAATAGAGGGTCTAATAATAGCAACATTGACATCTCCGGCCTCCTGCTGAACCAGGTACTCTGCCAGGGCTTTGGTGAAGGTGTAGGTGTTTGGGCGCTCCCTGATCAACTTCGGGGTCATGACCGCAACCAGATCATCATCCATCCACCTGAAGTAGGTCAGACATGAATGAATACTGTACATATCTACAGGAGAATTATTACATTGAAAACTTGATAGCTGAAAGTTCAATCACGCAAGTAAATTAATAGCTGGGATTTGCAAGAAGGCATGAATGAAACAAGTTTCTATACCAAGGCTAGATCTCATTACTCAACTGACAATTCATCATTTATTATTTTCTACTTGACATTTGTGTTCCTTAGGTAGAGACAGAACTTCTGAGAGTCATTAAATAAACAAGCTTTTAATACAGAGTTAGCAATCTGTTTATCTTTGACAGGTGCAAAACAGGAAATCCTAAGCCACTGTGAACATCAAAATTACTGTGGCAAATGTTAATGCACACTTTTGCAAAAGTGTGCATTTATTTATATCACTTCTATTATACAAATGATACTCAACTTCTGAGTCACTGGTCTAAATCCTGCTATGTAACCTAAACTTTCTAATGCGTTACTAATCTGCTAAAAGTGGCAGCACGGTGTTCAAAAAGACATTTTAGAGAGATGCGGAAATGACATCTGTTCTTAATCTCTTCCCTGGGAGCTTTTAGTGAGGTTTAATCCTAAAAATTACACTCACTCCAGCGTGTCAATGAGCTTGCGGTAGTCCACAGGGGGAGGGTAGATGACTTCTTCTATGAGCTCACGGTCACAGTTAGCGTAGGCAGTGGACACATGAATGAAGATCTCCAGCTGCTTCATTTTGCGAGCCAGTGCCAGCATTTTCTGAGTGGCCAGCACATTCAGCTGCATGGCATCTCTGTGGCAACAAAGAAGAGTTGACAGTTTACCACTTTTCAGCACCATTTATATGCAATGAATGAATGAATGAATGAATGAATGAATATTTCACTTAAAACACTGCATAACAGATACCAGCCCATACAATACTGTATTATATTATACAGATGTATTACAACTTTCTATCGAGGGTTAGGGTAAGAGAATACCACGTGACCAAACTGTTGACATTCCAGACAAAAAGTGGATAGACTATAAAATTAACCACAAAAATGCAGAATTATCATGTTATACCTTCTAAACCCAATTTGGTTTAAATTTCTTATCAGTTTGTGTTGCAGCCTAATATTTCAGTAAGATTTGCTAAAGGTGCACTGTGTAACTTTCCAGGTGGAGGGTCCGTTACTATGGAGATGTTTTGCTTTGCCTGGAATTTCATAATATATTTAACTTGTCTAGTTCCATGAAGACAAGCGCAAATTTGCAAGTCTGATCTGTGGAGAGGTGTGCCTGCAGTAGAATGCATATTTTTCAAGGTATTGTTTTACTGTAAAAACATGTATAATTAAATATTAACCAAGTTTAATGCCATACAATGGCGCATTACAGTGAAAGCAATCTCCCTCACATATCTCCATGGACACAACCAAGTGCTGAACTCTTACCAGAGAGGTTACATAGAGCACCTTTAAAGCCAATATGATTACAGTACATCCTCTTCTTTATTTACTTTACTTTCCTCTCCATCTTTATTTTCTTTCCATTAACTCTCACCTCTCCCACCAACTGTCAGTACTCAATACAACAATGACTTGTATTTGTCTTGTCAAAAGTAAACAGACTACTCACTAAAGTAAGTAAAGTAAGGTGTGTGTGTGAGTGGTTTTGGCAGCAAATGAAACTAAATGTAAATGAGTGAACATTAACTCACTTGAGAGGCTCATTGAAGCGGATGGTAGCTGCACAGTGAAATACTATGTGGATGTTTTCAGTCAGTGTGCTCTGGTCGTCCTGACTCAGACCCAGTTCAGGCTGCGTCAGGTCACTGTTCACAGGGACAATCTTCTGTGCAAAGTCAGGCTGCTCATCATGTAGCTTCTCAAACAACTGGACACAAGCCAGGTAAAGACACATTTTTATGCTCAATAACGCTCATTTGCACAGGACTCTTAAGGCTCTATCATTTGCATAATATTATATAGAGATACCTTGCAGCTGACCATGTCCGTAATGCGGACCTGTGGAGACTGGCCTGCCTTCGGCCGGACCATCACGTACGCAGATCGGACATCCGGGCATGAGCGCAACAGCTTCTCCAGCAGCACCTGGGAAAGTCGGGAAAATAGTATTAGACTTAGACAAACTTTATTAATCCACAAGGGAAATTATTTGGACGCAGTGGCTCACACATCACAATATAATAACAGTAGCAATATAAATGGTAATAATACATTTAATATAAGCAGCCAAATTGGGAATTGAACATAAAACCAAAAATATGTAGTCAGCTGGTGATGAAATATATGCATTACAATACATATAACAAACATTTTTACCAGACATTAGAGAGCAAAATGTTTTAGGGGAATTTACGTCACAAAAATGTCTTAAAACAAACTGAGTGACAGTCTGTCTCTGAATTACTAGAATTACTAGTTTGTCGTCTTTGTTTTGCAGCAGTTTTTTTTCTAGTTGCCTTTTACCTTCCCCATGAATCCAGTGGCTCCAGTGATGAGCACATTTTTCCCTGCGTAATATTCTGGGATGGTCACCATTGTGAGTCTGTCGCGGATTCCTCGACACCACACCACTCCTACCTAAAAGAACACAATACCAAATTATCAGAGGTGAATAATTTTAAACCCGCAAGGCACATGTCACACAGAGGCAGAACAGTGTTGAATCAGAGCAGTTCTTATCAGTCTCTGCATAGATGTTTGACACTACGGATAGATAGCAAGACTATATATAGATAATTCTATAAAATATTAACTAGAATAACCCAAACAGGGCCCCATCTCATCTCTTTGATGTAAGAGAAAAAAAGATTTAAAAAATTCTAATAGCATCACTAAATTTGAATTACAGAACAAAAGTTGTCAAAAGTATTAAAAAAATCTGATACTGATACCAAAATTAGTACTGAAATTTTCAAATTCATTTGGAGTAGGTATCAACACAAAAAAAAAAAAGCCATATTCACAGGACAGATATGAACTTTGAATAGCTTTAGAACAATCCTAAGTTGTTTCAGAACAAGTATAAAAACCACAGACTAGTATACACCCATGGACCACTGGGGAACATATACCTAGGGATTACACAGATAAAAGATCATATTATAATGTAAGAAAGTACTACAAATTAATGTTGAAAATCACATTCTATTGTGTAAATAAAGTTTTTTTTATTATCAATGTGGTCTCGAAATCTGATTGAGTATATTCCTTTTTCCCCCATTTTTAGTATCATGACACTAATACAATACAGAAACATGCTAAAGTGGTTTACAGTTAAAAAATGACTAATATATTAATAATTATCCCAAAAAGCAGCACAAATCACACATGTTTATTTGTATCATAATCACATTAAAATATTTTTATTTATTTACAGTATTTTGAATAAAATAATAGATTTTAGTGTTGTATGATGCATGGTCCACTGCACACAAAGCCAATGTTTGTCCTTTACTCCAGAGTTAATCCAGGTGTTCAGAAACACCCTAAAAGTATTATTTGGAGAAAATATTTGTTTAGTGCTCACAAAGCCTGAATTACTTCGAACTGTCACAAGTTGTCAGCATTTCTTCACCACTCACTGCATTATTATCGCCACATTTTTAAACAAGAGCAATGCTGGCAGTTACAAAAGAATGCAAAATGTTCATTCTAAGACCTTGCGACCAGTTTCCATATACACCTGAGGATTGCATAATTTTAACTTTTTAGTAAGCCTTATGTTAAACCAATGGAGATTTTAAGATGCTAAATACTAGGGATGTGCATTGCCTTGAGTCTAACAATACAACACATATCATGATATACATGTCACGATTTGATATATCGCTAAACTAAAACAATAGATGATATATGGCAATTCATCAATAATTACTTCATGAGAATAAAACTGCATGAAACATAATTACATTTAAAAAAAATCCTGACAACAATGTCAAATGTCAAAATCGATTCATGAATTACGCAATAAAGTATCATGATACATCACTGAATCGATTTTTTCCTACACTCCTAAATACTAAATATAAAAATGAATGTTCATTCAAAAATATTCTGACGCTATTATTGTTGTATGTATATGCAGTGATTGATTCAGCTGTTTTTATTTTGTTAATAACGGTTGTCGTTCAGTCCTGACCTCAATAGACAATGTTTAAACAAGAACTTTTCCTTCTTAAAATAACATTTGATTAACCCGTTTTTCCAGTTTACGTGTGTAGCAATGCCAGGTTTTGTACGCAGAGCTACTTGGGTCATTCATTTCACACACACAGGGTCCTTGATTGTGGCCTTTGGACATCAGGTTTTGTAACATGAAGTCATTGTCAGACTGATCAAAACGTATTGTGTCAAAACATGATTCTTAGAAGTTAAGCCAGTGGGAACAAAAGCCGTTAGCAACAGTGTTATGAGCTACTAGGACAACTGTCCCTTAGGCATTTCAAGCACAAAATACAACGAATCACAAAAAAACCAAACAAACAAAAAAAAAAGACACAATACAAAGAACTGAATTAATAATCAACCAAAATGTCATGGCTTTCCCAGTGAAAAGGCACTGGAGATTTCATGGAAAGAAAGATATCAATCACATTTCTGGATCAGTCAACAGGACAAATAAAACTGAAGTTATATTTATAACTATGCTTCAGGGAATCCTGGATGAACGCCAGGGGGCGTAGTGGGAAGCACTAAATGTGGAGGGATTCATAGAACCAATGTTAAATTTGTAACAGGGCCAACCATAATCATGTTCATAAACACAACTGAGCTTTAACCATTTCCATAACAATAACCCCAGCTATAATCATAACCTGTTTCTAAATGTCATCACTTCAAATGGTTATTCACAGCAGACGTTCCTCCATCTGGCTCCAGAGAACGAGAGAAGATTTGGACATAATTTATAATAATTGTTGCAGTTCACTCCACAATTTTGGCCTAACAATATCCTTTTAATTTATTTTCACATAGATTTTTGCTGTCATTGTCTGTTTTTTGTCCAAGCCAAATATAAGCAGATTTTGTGTCACAATTTATTGACCCATTCATACCATCTAGCACCAACCATATAAAAGGTTATGTTTTATGGCATTTTCTGATCTATTATGTTTTGTTTCATTGATAATACAAGTACCGTACAAGTGCTCCACTGTGTTTTAAAACTCCATACACCTTCACTAGAAACATTTGGATAATTTGAACCCTGGAAATGCAAATCTCTACTAAGCATATGGGAAAGGTGTTAACTTGAAAACTACCGCTACATGACTTCACAAGGTGGAACAGAGCAGGATTACTCAAACATGTGTGAATGAAACAAAACACAATTTGACATGTTTTTGAGGAAGTAACAGCTCACAAGAATCCATTTTGTGTAATACAGGACCTTTAAATGTTACGTCCACACTCCTCATCCCTAAGTTTAGTCCATGAGTGTGAATGAGGGTGAGGCAGTAGTTTCCAGTGGGACCTCTACCTCTGTGCTGCCAGGAGTGAAACAGTTATGCTTTCACTGCCTGTGGACGGTTGGCAGACAATAGTGGGCTCAGATATCCTCCAGCTGACTCCTATCAAGATCGAGTGTTTCCACAATGAGAAAACAAAACAAAGGCTCGCCAATGAACTGCGACGTAGTTTAATAGACCTTTGAGTGAAATATGCAGTAGCAAATATGACTGCATTGTGCTAGGAGTTTACATGGACTTGTTATTTTGTTGAGACCTTTTACCTATACCTTGTAAATGGTACCGGTGACATTTTTATATATCGCTTTTCCACCCTCACGGCTCTCAAATAGCTTCATATCGAGGAACCACTCACTCATTCATACACCAATGTACACATACACTGTTGACGTCGAGAGCAGGATTCAAAACCATCAACTTTCAGATCGGTGGAAAAATGCTCTACAAACTAAGCTTTTGTCACTCTAGTAGTTAGAAGATTTAATCTTTGTTAAATTCTCTATAATAATAAATAAATAAAAATATTCCAAACTGTATTCCTGCATTAACAAGTAACCTGAATTTGCATAACAAAGCTGCGCATACTTTTGCAGTTATGTGCGAAACGTGGCCAGTCACTGAGGGGAAAAAAAAAAAAGCATTCAAAAGCTTCAAAAGGAATTGATTGCTCAACGAATATCAAGCTTCTATAGACAAGTTATCACTATTATATAAAGTCAACAGAGATTTTGTATAGAATCCCCAAGAGAAACATCCCCCAGCTTAGGCCTCAGCTCAAGCATCTGTGACAGTCACCACCAGTGTACAGTCAGACAGACAAGCAAGTTGATCTGCTCCATCTACATTTAATTATTTAATGTGCACACTCAATTCTTCTTAAAGAGGCCCCTGTGTCTGCGCCTAAAATGGATCAAATCAATGTAACATTCAGAGCAAGTCTCAAGACTGCTATACAGGCCTATTAATCAGACAAGACATGAATCTGCAATTGGCCATGACATGTTAATTGCTTGTTACTCAGACTGTAAAATACTAGGCATGTATAATAAAGATTGAGATTAACTACTCCATTACTGGCTTCAGACATTTCACATGCTATACTCCCACATTTCCCTATTGACTGAATTTTATTTTCATAAAAATATCCAAATTGGTATCATCGGGACAAACTCTACACATTCAATCTGTTTTTTCAGCTTTTCCTCTGTGTTAGCTCAGCAGTGCATTGCAAAATACCAAACAGAATTTATGGTAAAACATTGATCTATTGGGACACAAAGTAGTAGTACGTTATGTGGTGGGTGGGCAAATTATTAAAGTATTGATTATATCGTTTACAATGAAATGCAGCGAAAGCAGCTCATTAAAAATGAAAAAACAAAACCAACATTCTGTAAATATCCAAATACAACTGATATTTTAGTATTTTGTTGGAAATTCTACAATCATACATTATCTGATACTTAAACCTCAAAAAATATATTCAGGATCAATACGCATCAATGAATGATCAATGCATCTACGCAGCTATGTGGCAACTAAAATCTGTGACACAGTTTAAGCCCAATAAGCACATTGAAAATGCAAAATGCAGCTAAATACTTTCATAATTTGGTTTATAAAGTTTCAGATAGATTTTAAATGAAATTATAGGTTTTGGGCTCATTAGTCACAACATAGCTGATTAGTCCTGAGCAAACTTGCCAACTTTTAATATTTTTTTCAGAAAGACTGGGAAAAATGAATGAAAAATTTACTTCCAGATCCAGGGAGTGGGCGGTCAGTGTTAAGCTCCATACTGGCCACCCATACTTTTGGAAATGATCTTCTAACACATCAAACCAAGATTTAAAAAAAAAACTTTAACTCCAAACTCCATGCCACTATCACTGACATTGCTAAAGTGATAGTGATGGTGATGTGAATGGCATGTACTGGCCCGAATACTGGGACATTTCAGCAGGCATGAGGAATGTCATGAGGCCCTGTCCTGTAGCTGTATCACTCCAAACATCGCCACTAGCAAATCCAGTGTCACATGTGGACTGAACCCAATTTACACTTATTTTACCAACTCGTAAATCCATCAGTTCATCTTCTCATACACTACTTTTATCACTCTCTCCTTGTATTGGCGCAACAATTGGAGAAAATCAACACACACACTGCTCTGGTGATACTGGAGACTACACACTGAAACTAGAGAGTAGAACAACAGGCAAAGCAAAGGCAACAGATCTTGTGCTTGTCATTACATGCAGCTGTCTCCTATCATTAACACAGCCAGTAGTCAGCAGCCATTTGCACAGCAGGACACCATTCAAACCACAATTATTGACTTGACAGCCTTTAATGTGATTACAGCAAAAGCTCAAGAGTCAATTAAAAATGGAGGCAGTTTTAAATGGTGCCTTCTCACCTCTGCTAATGTGGGTTTAAAACTAGTTCATGCATGGTCAACCTGTAGAGATACTAACTCAGTCCTGTTTTAAGGCAGAATATATTAGTGAAGTAAAATTCTTAAGTGCAATACGGTTCTAAATAAGGTTTTTAATGTCAAAGGTAACAAATTAAATAGCTTAGTTCTCGTGGTAGAAACAGCACCACAGCTTGGGAGGGTGCAAAAAAAAAAAAAAAAAAAAAAAAAAAAAAAGAGAGAAAAAAAATCTAATTATAAACTTGTAATGCTATCAAGAAGCAACCTTAAACCTCTTACATAAGGCAAACATTTCCACATAGGCCTGTAGATAACTGATGGGAAAATGTTATTTCATAATTAACGCAAGAAATGTAAAGGAGAAAACTGTGGATGCTGCTGCTCAGTCAGAAGTTTGCACACGGGCCTCCCTGTGCCACTGTGGACAGGATCAAAAATACTGGCACTGGAAATCACGATCGAGTTTAGTTGCTTTGTAGTTGGAGTTTTCAAGAACATTTTTTCTGTACACGTATGCTCACATGGCTTCCTTCCTCTTCACGCATTTCACGCTGTCACCCCTCCGCCGGCTCGCGCCCCTGAATGCTCACGCTTTTGATCATCCGATGAATAAAACACTATAATCAGCAAGTACATATAAGGAATTGTGTACGTACCCGAAATGCGCAGCGACCCCGGCTCTGGAAGTCGGAGTGAGGTGTGGCGTGGACCCTGCGGTGGTGGAGAGAGACGGAGAGCAGCAGCAGCAGGAAGCCCGCAGAGAGCAGCTCGAGAGCGGGGAGAAGCGGGGAAATGAGCCGCCTGACGTCAGACACTCCGGAGCTCTGATAGGACACGGCTCACGTCTGGAGGGGGCTTTTACCACACCTACTGGCACCACGACTTCAACTTCAGAAACACAGTTGACACCAGAAACTACAGCATTTCAACCAAACTCATACACTGTAATGAAACAAAACAACAATACAGTCATAGGGAGTGAGACACAGTTTAATGCACTTGGTTCACCTTTATTATTTTTTATAGTTCATCAATGCCTATTTTCACCTATACATTTATCCAAGAAAAATACAATACGAACTTAATTTTTTATAACAGTGATGCTGAGAAACTGTTGCTAGAAACTTTTCCCATAACCACACAGAAAAGAGGAAAAAGTACGCCCCCTTGTGTTTATTCCCAGGAAACACCAGTGGAGCTGCATAGTACAGTTATGATTTGCAAACACAGTAGACTTTATTGACAAAACCACAAACTTTATTACCGATTTAATACATAATGTAAGGCATAAATAATATAGTGCAAGTGTAGCATCAGTACTTAAAAGTGCACTGTATGACTTTTCTAGTGGAGGGTCCATCAAATGCTTTTCTCCATGGAGACATTATTGATTTTGTCTGGAATGTTTCACAGGATGTTATTAAACATTTCCATCATCTTTGGAGCTAAACCACGCTAAGTTACAGGTCAGATCTGTGGAGAGGCAACCCCACTAACAGTCAGAATGACAGTCCAATGAGATTCATTTGGTCTTCTGATATTTTAAGTTATTAGGTTCTTTTTTTAAACCTAGAGTTTTGTTTCATACCTGACAGTTTCGACTGTCGGCTGTTGTCCTGCCTCCACCGGTAGGAAGACAGCGCCAAAACCTGTTAAATCAGCTGACCAGACACGTCATAGCAACATCACGTGGCCACTCTGAGGAAGATCGCTAGTGAGTAGTCGAAACTGTCAGGTATGACACAAAACTCTAGGTCTGAAAAAATAACCTAATAACATAAGTCAGAATGACAGTTTTTCTAGGTATTAAGTTATAATACCATCTGTTGAATAAATGCAAGGTAGAGCTGTTTAATGTCATACTGTGGAACATTCTAGGCAGAGCAATGACATATCCATAGAAACAAGCAGGGGACGGACCCCCAACAGAAAAATTACACAATGCACCTTTAAGATGATGGAGCCCAACAGTTTGTTTAAAACACTACATTGGCGACGCCTTCATCTTGGGTCTCAGTCTCCACAAACTGCACCACGCCTGTAAGAATAATTAAATAAATGTTTAAAAGAAATCATGAGCATGGCCTTTGAAACACAGCCCAGTGTCTCTTACCCTTGAGGCTGGCACTCCAGGTTGTGGGCACATGGGCAGTGATCCCGAGGCCCCTCCCTGTCCCAGGCCAGCATGTCCATGAAGAGGTTGGGCTGGTTCATACAGGACTCTCCCCTTTCTGGTCTGGGGTTACACACAGGGAACAGCAACTCTGGAAGTTGGAAAGACACAGCACAAAAATTACACCTAAAAACTCATATATCCATCAAATATATGTAACAGTGTGATCATCCTTTTTTTATATATATATATTTTTTTATATTTTTTATTATGTAGAGGGTTGAATAAATATCTTCCATGAGTCATTCCATGACTCATTACAGATACAAACTAACTACTGAAGTGGTTAACTCTGCTATTTATTAATTGCAGCTTAGGATTTTTAACAATATTGTACATTTAGACTATTTTTGGGGGGATATTCCTGTTTTAGGGTTAATGTGTCAGTGGTATAGAATAGTTTCATATATATAATAGTACAATATTTATTGTACTGTGAGGTTCATTTACATTTTGTGGAGGCTATCAAAACTGTTAATATGCTACTTTTTCCCCTTAATATGCCTTGACAAGACTTAATCCATAGAACTAAGACTTAAAAGTGCTTAGAAGTGTTATTTCTTCATGCAGTCTACACTGAAATGGAGTAAAGACTCATGGTCTATGTAGTTCCCTCTGTCTTGTTTTAGCTATAGGTGCACCACCCTTAATATAAGCAAAGAGACTTGTAATTCGATATATTGTGATGGTCCACGATATTGTTGTGAGAACTTTGACAATATTTCAGTTATTGTTTCATCCCTAATGGAAAGTTAATGGAAAGTCATCAATTTCTTATTTGGCTTGAACAAATAGTGCTCTCTTGAAATATGTTCTCTAGTGTAGTTTCAAAAAAAGGCTAACACAGAGTCTGACCTCTCTGGAAGGCACAGCATAGATCTCGTTTGCAGTCTCTTTGGTCCTGGCAGATGGTTCCCTCCTCTCCACTTGTAGCATTCACAGTGCACTGGCCCCACACACACATCTGATCATTACAGCACTCCTCGTCTTTAGTGCAGGGCTACACACAAATATATGCATTAATTACCACAATGTTAAAATACAATGCGCCATAGACTAAAAACCAGGGTTCACTCTCTGTAATAAAACTCTGTGGTTTCTTTGTATAGAGCAGACAAGAGGCAGGATGTGGCATGCTGGGGAAAATAAACAACATGGAAGTACTTAACGCTCATTTAGACATTAAAGCTAAGGACAATAAAGCCAGGCAATGAAGTTAAAGACAGTATATGAAAGATTAGCTGTCATTAAAGAGAGCTTTGGTCCAGTGTAGCTAACCATATCTGTCGGTATGCATGGCAGACATTTCGAGTTCTCTATCTCATACAGGCAGTATTTCAGCTCGCCGCAATCCTCATCCACCATGCATTCCTGAGAAGAACAGAAGACACAAATGAAAACATAAATATACAATCAAGAAGTGAATGGATAGCCAGGTTTCCAGAAAGGACAATAGGCTCCGGATCAAACTCCACTTCAAAAACTCTATTGGTAACATCTGCCATATTTGCCACAGGTGTCCATACAGACGGGTAAGTCAAACAATACAACAATGTAAACAAACGTGCAGTGGAATTACTCAACAAGTGGGTGGGCTGTTACCAATACATTCATTTTATTTTAATTATTCTCATTGAATTTAATTAATATCCAAGTTTCAGGATACGATATCGTCACGGTATGAACCTCACAGTACGATACTTACTGCAATATCATGGGGAAGTTCACGATATGGTGGTGAGGCTCACGATTAGGGTTGTAACGATATCCAAATCTCTCGGTACGATGTTTTCACGATGTACATCTCACGTTACGATGTTTATTGCGATATTTTGTGGAGGCTAATAAAACTGTTACTATGCAACTTTTTCCTCTTAAAATGCCTTGACAAAACTTAACCCAAAGAACGAAGACTTAAAAGTGCTTAGAACTGTTATTTCTTCTTGTAGTCTGCGCTGAAATCAAGCAAAGGACCATGGTCTATGTAGTTCACTCTGTCTTTTTTTAGTTATTGCTGTATCATAACTTTTAATTTAAGCAAAGAGACTTGCAATTCGATATGGGGTCTGGTCAAGCGGTAACGGAGGGAAACAGGGGCAGATTTTTTACAATCAAATGGCTCTTATTCAGAAACTAGAGGGACTATTGAAATAAGTAAGGTATCAGAATGTAGGAAAGAGTTAACACTCCAACAAGGTAAAGTTAACCCTGTGATATTCTTTCAAGTTGTTGACAAAAAATTAAAAAACTCATGTCGATAAAGGAGGGAATGAAATATGCAGCACTTTTTGGGCAATAAATACAAACAGCGATAACTTACATATCCTTAACAAACTGGTTTGAATATTTTTTTGTAGTTTTCTACCATATGGTCCAAGATTAGGTTGAAAAACCTCTTACTTTTTGAGTAATTAATTTTTTTATTAAGAAAGGTCATTGCAACGGAGGGAAAAGTAACAGAGGGAAAATTGTGCAAGCGAGTAGAAGGTGCATGATTTTGCATAATTTGTCAGCTTTTTCTTCCAAATACTTTAATATTACTTCAGAATGAAAGGTAACTATTTCTATAAAATATGTCAGTCCTTCCAAGTAAATTTTTATCATTTAAAATATATATATATTTTTTAAATCGTATACCTTCATCAACAGTTCAAAGATCGAATAACACAAGATATGATGAAATACATTAGTTTATTTACATGATTTGCAGGTCTTTGAAATTTGGGAAATAATTTTTGTTCCATGTTTCATACATGGTATGTTTAAAACATATGTAACTTTAGAACCAAAAACGGTACAGAAAAAAGGTAAACAGTTTCATAAACTAGAGTACATATGTATCTGTTGAATAAATTTTTATATCAGATGCATTAACTTGAATTTTTGGCCTTGCTGTTTACTTCTGCTTGACCGGGCCCTATGCTGTGATGGTCCACGATATTATTGTGAGAAATCTACAATACAATATCATGATAGTTCGGTTATTGTAACATCCCTATTTATCGCCCTATCCACAGTTCCAGAGTTACTGTTTTGGTAAATGTCAGATGGACGTCACAATGCCATCTGAACCCAGTAGATGGCAGTTGTAACAGTACATCTCTTTAACTGTCAAGACAACAAAATAGACTGTATAACAAAGCTTACTGTTTATTGAAACTAATCTTATTGTAAAGAAAACGCAGACAGTGGCATGGTGCTAGAGATGGGAAGTTATAAAATGTCTGTGTGAACGTTCATTGCAGTGCATCATCATAAATCATACTATTAAGCTAAACGTTTTCTAGTACATTGAAACCAGTCCTTTCCAAAAACCTTGGGCATGCACTTGTATTAGGAACATTTTAGAGCCCATTGCTCACAAATGGTTTTTGTCTGGTTTCCATTTATACAGTGGCAAACTTACACTGGACAAGAAGAAAGTAATATAAGTAATAGAGATGTATAAAAGTCACTGTACTGGTTTGCTAGAAAAGAGAAATTGCAGAACTGTTATGCAGAAATTCAGTACTTTAAATGTGCATAGTGCAACTTTTTTTTAAACAGATCTACCTTACATTTATTCAGTTACAGATGGTTTTATTGCTCAAAGACACCTAGAAAAACAGAAACTTGGTCTGGTTTGGTGTCCATGAAGATAGAAAGATTTAATACCATACTTTGAAACATTTCAGGCAAAGCAATAACATCTCCATGAAGAAAAGCATTTGACGGGCACTTCACCAGAAAAGTTACACAATGCACTTTTAAATATTCCAATAGCGAAGTGACATTGTCCTTTCTCTCGTAATTTAGACGTCTGAATTGCTATTTGCCTCTGTAAGGAAAATATCTCATTTCACAGCCCCATCTGGCCTGTAACAGACTATAGTTTCCGTGGCTTTTCTTCCAGCAGACCTCTCTATTAATGTAACCACTTCTGGGGAGCTGCCAGGAAAGATCAAACCCACTGTTATGCCACAGCAATAATGACCTAAATCTGCTTTGGACATCAGCTTTAGCTCAGAGAAAAGAGTGAGGTAATGATCATCAGATGAGATCATTCATTATTCACATTTGAATAAAGGCTGCTTTTCAGTTTAAGTTAGGATGAGAACTTAGTCACATTTTAACTGATCATATAGTGTAAACATTGCATTGATCAGTTCAGAGTTTTTGATCAAGAGGTTTTCAAGCTATTATTTCTGTATTTTATTTTACATGTACATTTGTACAAAAAGACCTCATTTGACCCCAATCTCTTGCTATTTTTTCATTTATATTTTTGCTCTTTGTTATTATATTTTATTGTGATGTGGACACTACTGTATCCAAATAATTTCTTTTATGGATCAAAAAAGTTTATAAAAGTCTAAGTCCATTCTGAAACAGATGAAGCATGTGTTCTGGTGGGCACTTTGGAGGCATAAAAATGAATCTTGCTGGAGCGGAAAACAGTAATTTGTTGTTTGAGTTGGGCGAAAAAAATCCTGCTTTGATGTAAAATTGGAATTGTTGAGCAATGCAGACAGATACGCATAATTTACCCCTAAACATTCGGAGAAAATGTGTAGTTTTATCAGACTCACATGGTCAGTACTCTTCCAAGGGCCTGTGACCTCCATGTGGATGTGTGAGAGGCGTGTCTCTCCAGTCTGATTATTGGTTTTCTGTAAAATAGTACAAGGAATGACATATGAAAACAATCACGAACGAGAGTAAAAGCATTTTAGATGGCAAAGCAAGGCAAGTTTATTTGTATAGCACAATTCGTACACAAAGTAATTCAAAATGCTTTACAGGATAAGAAAGACATTAAAATCACAATACAAACAAATAAAAACACGAATACCATAAAAGAGATGAGAGTGTAATAAAAACCGTTCAGTCATATGCACAGCTAAACAGAACTGATTGTAGCCTGGAAATGCTATAATTGTGCAATCAACTTTATTTGGTCACCTTAATGGTCCTGTCCAGGACAGATCTGTCACTGGTGCCATTATGACGACTGAGATGGAAATCCAAAGAATTGGATTTAGCACTTTCGGTGGTTATCTATTACATAAAAAATACAAGAACAATTAAAATACAATTCAAACACAGTATTAAACTACAACATATTATGTACATCATTATTTTACATTTTGTGTTTTTAAATAGCACAATATTGAAATGGGTCCATTAACTTCCTGTTCAAAACTTGACTTTACCTGTCTTTATTATTGAAAAATGACTGTGTGGCATTCTTTGAACTCTTGTTTCATGTTTCATTTTATTTAATAATTGCAAGTAAGAACAGCAAAGGGCACTATAAGCCTATATTAAAACATATATTAAAGCCAATATTAAACTCTTGAAAAAAATAACCACTCAACCACACAGTTTCATCTAAAATTAAAAATAGTCTCTCATCAAGTCTCAACATGTGTGATGCCATATGTCAAAAGCTGAGGTGAGGGTAGACAACTTCTTAAGTGACAAAATTTACCTACATTCACTCCATCATCTTGGCCTAAGCAAAAGTACGACTGTGTGCTCCGTAGTTCAACAGGCACAGCAGCCCTGGTTTAGAGCCTGCCCGGTGTCTGCTGCTCGGTGAGTGGTGCGTGCGTAATGGGTGAGTCAGACCTGGTCCACGGCCTCCTCCAGGATGTGCTGCGTGTCCTCCATTAGCTCCTCCACCTCTCGGAACATGTCGTTGAGACTCAGCGCGGGCTCGTCCGGTTCTTCTGGGAGGACCATCGCTCCGCTCAGTGCCAGTAAAGCCACGGACAAGGACAGCAGCGTGATACGGGACATCTCTCCTCTGTGCGGTGTGTCTCCAGACCGGAGCAGCGGCTGTGAAGGAGTGACACAGTCAGGCGCGCACAGCTGGACCACTTTTATTTGGAAAGTCTGACAAGTACCGCTGTGGGGAAAATAACTGCAGCCAATCAGCATTAATGGCGTGGCAAACTTAAAAAACTATAGCCTATAACTAAATGTCATACGAAAGAGACCCAGTAATATAGATGCACGGAAGTTATGCGATTTACCCCATACCTTCTAGTAGCATTTGTTTAAAAAAAAAAATAAAAAATTCATACCTTTATACTTTTAAAAATGTTTTAGCAATAATACAACCCACCTGCATTTGTTATTTGTGAGAATAAAATTTGCACATAGGCTATTTCAGGCCTAAAATATAAACCCCTTAGCCCAAAAGAAACAGCATTTTATACCGCTAATCTGGCACTGGTCTGAGCAATTGACAGACTCCTAATAATAATCTAATTGAATTTGATCAAATCTACTGACAACATATCTCTGCCCACACGAGGGCAGTGTAGGACAAGATAGTGAGACTAAAGCCAAGCCAGCAGTAGCAAGCATTCAAAGCATTCATATTAGAAATATGCCTATATAGATAATCTATTTTGTTATTACATGTAATAGCTAGTTTAGGACAGCTACCGTCTCCAACTCAGAGACAAATATTCAGGTCTATAAAGCAAATGGGCTCTGAAACATAATTAAATGTGTACGCCTATTTATATGCATTCAAAATTAATTTAATATATACATTATTAAGAATTCAGATATGATGGTACCAGTCAATCATTTGTCAATACACTTTCTCAGCAAAATAAGTGGGTGTCTGTCTCTTTCATAATAAAACCACCCTAACTCTATTATACTGATGGCATTTATTAATAGTTATATTAGTTAGACCAGTTCGTATGCTATTTATTTATTTTTTACTGTCACATAAGAAAGTGCCCTTTTCAAAGAACCTGTTAGAATTTATGAGATTCTTTAAATATTTAACTATTTTATTTTGGCATGGGATCAAAGCGGAAGTCTTGTGTGTGTACAGCAGCGGTGCTCTGACTGAAACACGCCGCGTTTATCCTGAGGAGCAGAGGAGTGGAGCGCTCTTCTTTTACTTTCACAGAAACCAACCCGTCGGGACTTTTATTGGGATACACTGTGGACAAAAACACCGGGACTAAACTCTTTCTTTTGCCGTAGATCGCTATCATTTCTCGTCTTATGTTATTTTCTTCTCGGACTTCATGGTGTGGAGGTAAGAAGCTTGACACTCGGAGCGTGAAACTGAGCGCTGCTGATCGGGCAACTTTATTTGTGGCACTCGGGGGCTTCCACTGCAAACTCCGAGAACTTGTCCACATTATGAGTCGTCTTTCTCTAAATTTAATCTTAATTAGAATATACATATTTAGATTGAGTTTCCATATTTGTAATATTGTTTGTTTTAGAGCAACAGGTGGATGATGGTGCTAACAGCTGGCTGCAATTACAATTACAGTAGTATTAGCCCTGACTCAAAATGATGTTAGGTGTAAATAAGATGTGTGGGGTCAGTTCTTATCCATGGGTTTCAGATTGATAAAAAATTAGGATTCTTGCCACTAACAATTTAAAACAAAATAGTATATCTTTTGGATTGTGAAAAGTCCCCAAAATGTCACCTACATCAGGAAGCAAATCTATAAAAAAAAGAACATCTTATGCTAAGTATTTGATTTGGTAATTAATTCATTAGATTTTGAATAGGCCTAGTTAGGTTTTATTTCTTTTCATTTAAAACAGTATAGGAGATTGGGTGCTTTTCATTATCTTACATTACCCAGTGACAAAGACGTAAACCAGACATGTCAAACTCAGGCCTGGGGGCCACATTTGGCTTGCGATATAATTATATTTGGCCCGTGAGATCATATCAAATATGTATTAGAGCTGGCCCGCTGGCTACAGATAGAATATAGAAACATTATTTATTTAAAATTGTGTTATTATTTTATATTATGCTTGTTCTGGATTCAGTGTTTAAGCAAAACTATTATTAAACATTTATTTTAATAAGAAAAGGTTTAAGATAACATATCTTGAAAGAAGAGAAAACATGCAGATGTTGTTTAAATATTTCAATAAATATTTAGTTTGCCCCAAGACTTAGTCCCAGTTTTTAATTTTGGACCTCTGTAAAACTGAGTTTGACACCCCTGAAGCAGACCATTTGATAATGAAGATTTGAGTAATTTAAAGGTTCTATATTACACAAAATTGAACTTTGCCCCCTGAAAAACCTACCCAAAGTTGTGTTTTGTTTCATTGACATGTTTGAGTAACCCTTTATTAATTTGTCTACATCTCCAAAACACAAAATGCTCAGTTCCACCTTGTGATGTCATGAAACTTAATGTTAACAGCTACATTTACATTTTAATTTAGTAGATGGAAAATCCAGGGCTGAAAACATCCAAATGATTCTAGTGAAGGTCTATGGAGTTTAAACACACAGTGGAGCACTTCCTGTATTATCATGTGACATCACAAGTCGGAACAGAGTGTTTTCTTAGTGTGTTGTTGTATTTTCTGGTGCGCCTAGGCTAATGAATAAATTAAAAAATGTGTTAAATATTCGGAGTACTTCTTTGGCATAGTGTGATCTTGGCTTTTCCGGGTTTTCATTTCAATTACATTTCAAGAGAAGGGCCCATCGTATCTAATTATAATGGAAAACATTTGAGATGAATTGTTCTGAGTACTCAGATATTAATAGCTTTAGTCTGGCAAGGTGCACTGCAGATCTTAGAATGAAGTCAAGCAACACTCGCCTAGATTAATGTAGATCCCCAAGGAGGTAAGGTAATTGATTTCAGCCTGATAAAGTAATGTTGACGCAGATTGTCCTGGTCCATATGGCTCTGTAGCAAGTGTCGTCTTCTCTCTTCTTGGAGCTGAAATTCAGTCAGGCAGAAAGCGGAGTATCTTGGAGCTCCAGTTGTTGTGGCATAGTGTTTCAGTTGCACAATGAACTGTTCAAATTAATCATCGTGAAAATTGTGTGTCTCATTAGAAAAGGGTCAACTGTGCATGTTTAAGAAATTGTGTGGAGTGTAGTATTCAGAGTTGAGTTCATAGCATATGGTTCATAGCAACATGCATTGTAGGCAAATTTTGGACAGGGAGGAGTATTTTTACTAAATCCATTTTTTCTTGCAGTACCAGTTAATTTGAAACTGTTCTTTTTTTATTACTTTCATTCAGTTGACTTCATCTCACATCTTATTTTGAAGTAACAGCATGGTACAGTAGATCTCTTCTAAACCTTTGCTCAGAATTGGCAATTATTATGTTGGCCCAGTAATACTTTACTGAAACATCTGAAATGTAGGGCTCAGTAATATGGCAAAAAAATCCCTTCATACCAATGAACCCCAACTTTTTTTTAATAATCATTGTTATTTTTATTAAAATAATAATACATTTCTAGAACATGACTGTCATTTAACACAAAAGTAGTCAAATGTATTCCTCCAATGTCTTATAGGGGCAAAACTTTACTGCTCTCTGGATGGAGATGATGTTTTGTCTGTAATTCTCTACAGTATGGCTTTAAATCTATCTTGGATTTCTTTAGTCACAGGTGTTTTATTGCTTAAAAAATACTTTGAGAAAACATATATTCTTCCTGTGAGTGGGGTAGCTTCTCCACAGATCTGTAACTTGGATTGGTGGCATCACTGGCTTTTCTCCATGGGAAGGGAATTTGAGTCCATACTGTGTGTGGAACATCATATATGATGCAAAACATTTCTATGAAGACGTATTGGCAGACCAAACACCAGAAAAGTACTCTAATCTAAAACTGGAGATTGGAGATTTTGTTGTTGTTGTTTTGTTACTGGACATGTTTGTGACATGCAAAAGGCATGGGCCAAAAAGATAAGCCTTGTGTTATGTCTATGTGCATTATGAGATTATGTTTGCACTTCTTGTTGTTCAGGAGCAGTGTCATGCTACCTATGCTCCCAAACATGTTGTGAGCATTGACTCCAGGAATGTGTGCACTTATAAGGGGTGCCATGACTGCACAGAGCCTGAAGATGGGGGTGGGAGCGAGGGGAGCCCGATAGGACAAAAATACTCCAGGGAGCAGGGTGTCACTGTCAGTAGCCCAGATGGACTGCTGTCAGGGGGAAAAGGCCACAACAAGCTCACTTTACAGTAGAGGTAGACCATATATCGGTTGGCCGATTTTTACACTTTGTTTTGGCTGACCTGGTGCTGAAAGAATATAAAACTTGATTTGAACACTTTAATGAAAGAAATGATTGCACGAAATGTGACTATGCAGGTTTATAGGGCCATGGGAAATAAGGGCTGTGGATAGTTTGTAGTAACTTAAAATTACAGAATTGGGGTAAAATAATATATGCAGTGCTTACTGACCATCAGTTTCTTTGTATCGGCATTGCACAAAATTTATATCTGAAGATTTTGCAAAGTGTTTTTCCATTGACCTCCAGAGTAACATTTTTGTGTATCACCATGTTTGGAAAACATTGCTATATCTGATCGCTATCTATCTGCTGTTTAGAATTCCTAGATACTTTGCTTATTTAAAGTCTTTTACTTGCATTTTGGTTAATTGACCAATTGAATTAAATTAAGTTGCTGCCATTTATAATGTATTGTTTGTGTACAATTTAAATGTTTACCTGCACTATAGTGTCATTGCACTGTCTGCTGTTGTCTCTCCATAATGCTCATAAACCTGGGAAATCCTATACTCCACTAACATATGGGCAGGGTCTTAAGTTAACTCCTGAGCTACTGGAAAGCTGCCAGAGATCAGAGTAGGGTTGGATACCTTTCAATATTTTTTGCAACCAATTCTTAAACAATCCCCTGTTGTGGCATCTGAACTTTAAGCCGTTTTTAAATCTTTTTAACAGCCTTTCTATTCCTGTATCATTATCAATATTTATCAGTGTCATGAACAATAAAATAATGATTATATAATTAATTCTATTAAACCTTAACAATAATTCTTGCTTTATTTTTTTTTACCCA